TACAGCGATCAGCAAAACAGAAGTCACATCCCATAACTAAAGGATAGGCTGACACAATCTTAAACAGAACCAGTTTCTGTGAATGTGTGTGTCCATATACCAGACTCAGGAACCCTGGTGGTATAGTGATTCTGCATTGGGCTGAGATCTACATGGCTAGCAGTTCAAAAGACTGGGCTTTCTACTCGTGTAAACAGTTACAGTCTTGGAAAACAGGGGGTGGCTATGAGTCAGCATTGACTCGAGGGCCGTGAGCCACGTACCAGCCCGGACTCAGGGCCATTGGCCATCGAGTGGAAGCCAACTCACATCGATCCCACTCTGAGATTGTTACTCTTTATGGGAGAAGCAGCCTGTCGTTCTCTCATAGGACAGATAGTGGTTTTCAACTACTGATCTTGTGGTAAGCAGGCCAATGTGTAATTTACTATGCCATCAGGGTGCTGTGTCTATACACAGTATGTTTAATTTAGCTTGATAAAAAAGAGCAATGTCTTCATGATCATCTTCAATAGAAACAAGAAGCAACTGTTGAAAAAGATAAAACCGTCTTTCTCACACATCAAGCAGTGCCTATTCATTAGGTCAAAACGATGAGGATTTTGACTATGTAAGAGATTAAGTTACAGGTTCATAAATCAAAGCGTATAAAGATTTCAAGGAATAAAATCTTATCTCACTGTAAGAATATCGTATTCTCCAGCTCCAGAAAACTTCTTGGATGAAACCACTCCAGTTTTGGGCTCAATGAAAAATTTGCCGTATTCATTTCCCTCCTCGATGCTGTAGGAGATTTCTGCGTTGGGACCTTCATCCTTGTCTGTGGCGATGACCCGGTAGAGAGGCTCTCGCTTGGCATTTCTTTCTCGCTCGGTCTTTTCCCGCTCTGGGAGTCCAATTTTGTAGAACTTTTGCAGGAACTGAGGTTTGTTGTCATTTTCATCAAGAATTTTCACAATTACTCTGGCAATTGTTGACTTGGGGGGATTACCATTATCTGTCACGGTCACCTGTTTGGAAAGGCAGCAATTATCAGTACACATTTTTAATATCTACTGTCTAATAAAAGAAGGAATTCCTTCTGCCTAATGACAGTGCACCTCTGCATAAACATCTACAGTTTACAAAGCCTGGGGACACATACCGCCTCCTCTCCTCCTGGCGTCTGCCCCACAGGGAGGGAAGACAACCTCTACTTTCTGTAGGAACTCAGGGAGATGGGCGGGGAGTGGCAGCCTCCTTCTTCCCTCACCATGTTGTCCGTCCACTCTTCCTCACACGACTGCCACTCTAAGTGACCATCACCAAAGTGTTAATTTTGTGAATGCTCAACAACTTTTAATAGTTTTTCAAGCCACGGAAGGAACACAGGAAGATTTTGCTTAAGGCATTTAGAGTCCTCTTAAGAACAACATACATGATTAGAACACTGGAACATAAATTCTCCAAATAGGATATGCAAACATTCATTTAAGAATCATGAATAAAATACTAATCATTTAAAATGACATGATATACGGTCCATCTTTAAAAAGCACTAATAATCCCTTCTTGGGGGGACTTTTTCCTTATGCTATTTTCGATGCTAAACCCCGTGCCAGGGAGATGGCTCTGACTCAGAATGAGCATCTAGGGCAGAGCTGAACTGCTCCCTAGGGATGGTGAGGGTTTAAATCTTTACTGAAGCCGACTGCCTCAGTCTTCCTCCCACAGAGCAGTTGGTGGGCTAGAACCACTGACCATGACAATAGCAGTCCAATGTTTCATGTGACAGCACCACCAGGGCTCCTTTTATAAGACTTAGTAAGGTGGGGTTTCAATTTAAGACCAACTTAAAGAAAAATAGTTTCAGTAAAATAACATCCATTTTAAGTAAATAATTCATATTTTTGTTCAAGCACAAAGATCATGGATTATTGAGGATGGAACTAATGGCTGTATATAAACCCGAAACAGACGATTTCATCTCTAAGTGTTTGTTTACTTCAGTGTGTAAATTAAAAGCATGACCTAACTTAATAGTTCTCGTCCCCTCACCTGCACCTCTATGTCCTTCCAAACTAGGCTGCTGGAATACTAGAAATATTAAAGCAAATGAAGTTTTGCGTGAAATTATTTTCTTTTTGAAGCTTGGTGATTGTAAATGATTTTGGTTAATGGTATGACTGTATCCTGACGTGGTCCTTGTCAGAGGATCCGGCAAAATAACTGTCTTGTTTATAAAAACACTATTAGTTTACCATGTGCCTTCCCCTAAACTTTCTAAATAAAACAAAGGAAAATCACCAATTTAACTTGACCTCTCAACATTTTCCTCTTGGCATTTAGAGAGCTGATGACTGATTGGGTGGACGCAAGCAAGTGCTACACTTCATAGTATTCACAACACCACAAGTGACTCCCAAGTTTGGGTTCCGTATCAGTAGCCAGGTAGACAAGTTTGAACGTGTGATTTCCGGAAAACAACGCTTTCTCTTTAAGATAACCAAATCATTTAAAGAAATTGCTACTTGGGAAGAGGACTGTGGCTGTACTGCCACTACCGCAACTGCACAAATGTGCACATGCACACATACAACTACTATATAGCTATAAAAAAGTTAACATTTTACTGACAATGTTAGAAAACTAGGACCAACAATAAATGAGATTAAATTGGAATCAGTATGATTAATAGCTTTTTAAATAGAGGGAACTAAAAAACAACAACAATAAGTGAGAATTTTCTAATTAGCCGTACTGATATAACGGAGGAAATGCAAAGTGTGTGCTCGGTAATCAACACTAGACTGTAACGTGTGGTGAGAGAAATGGCAGCAGAGCTCCTTTGTACTGGACCACTTTCCCTCTCCCAGGCCACATGTTCTCCTGGTCTCTGGCCGCTTGGCGAGGGATGAGACCCAATCATCTTACCAGACTTGACGCCCAACTTACACCCCATCTTCCTCTTCCAAATTCCTTGTGTCCTTTCTTCAGGAATGAGGTTAACTAGTCAACAGGGAGCTTTTACTAGCAGTAGTACTAGTATTAGTATTTTTAAAGGACTAGCAGGGATTTTAAAGAAGTCTTTGTTTGTTTGGGTTTTTCTTAAGAAGTCTTATAAAAGAAAAATCATTCCTAAGAAGAGCACATCAGAGTTCAATCTACTTTTGTTAAGAGCTCTCTTTTTTTAGCACAAACTTTATATAGTAACAGTTTTTTAAAATTAGGCAATGATGTGAGTATTGAACAACTTCTCAGATCAATCAAGCACACATGCGCACTGCTAGAAACTCAAATACCTAATAATGAAGGAAAGAAACATGCCGAATACATGGAGATAAACAGCACTTTTCAACTAACAATCAAACCCAAGTAATACTTCTCATGCTGCGTGTGGTATATGTGTGCACACATGTAGTAAGTGGACAACTCATGATAAACCAAAACAAACGCACTGGCATCAAGTCAATTCTGGCTCATAATGACCTACTTACAGGACAGTAGAATTGCGACTTAGGGTTTGTCAGGCTGTAAGTCTTTATGGGAGCAGAAAGCCTCATCATTCTCCGACCAACACCTGGTGGAGCTGCATGTCTGATTTTAACTGTGAGCAGACCAACAGGCAATTTACTATCAGGGCTCCTGCCAACTCCTGATCATGGTTGGGTTCTGGGATGGGAAGAGGGCAGCCAAAGAAAACGTGAACTCTCCTCTTAACTTTTTTTCTTCCTTTCTATTAGTAGTAAGGGGGGAAGCTGATTAATTAGCTTAAACAAAACTGTTTTCCCCATATTTATCATTTCAAACTTAAAAGAGAAATACTCACTTCTAAAATGTGTTCATCTTGCTGTTCTCGGTCTAGTTTTCTTGATGTGGTTGTGATGAGACCTGTGAAAATTCAACAGCGCATTACTCCTCAGAAAATGAGGTCAATTATAAAACGTTGCAACTGAAAAATCTGAGTAAATTTCTAGCTTCTCAATGCAAAAAGAAATATGAAGGAATATACGTTCCAGATATACTTACTTTAACAACAAAAAAATACAGTCTACATTTTCTCATTTTCTTAATTTCCGAGTATAATAGATAAATTTTAGTACCATTAAGGAGAAGAATTCAAATTAGTTATATTTCTACCTGCTAATATACAGAGGGCCAATAAATATTTTACAGGAAAAGGTTTTCTTTACGAACTGAGATGAGGTTACCAAGGACTCCAACTTCATCTGTTTCTCCTTTGAAATATCTCAGAAATGATTAATAATTGACTGTGTGTGTGTGTGATATTAAATAGGACCCATTAGAAGATAAAATAATGACTATGAGTTATTGCCTTGGGATCATTTTCCTTTAAAAATGAAGAATTCTTTTAAAGAATGAGATTTTGCAGGCACTGTTGTTCAATAGTCATTTAATTTTTCAATAGAAGAATAAACAATTCCCAATAAAATACCTTACTCTACTTTTTATTTTCTATCAAAAGAGTTTAGAGTTTCACTCTCTGCCCAGAGTTAAATTTTAAGAACCAATTCTCTGTAAGTTTGTCATCCTGTAGTGGTTTGCATGCTGCTGTCATGCCAGAAGCTATGTCACTGGTACTTTCAAACGCCAGCTGGGTCATCCAAAGCGAACATGCTTCAGCAGAGCTTTCAGAAGAAGAACAGACTATGAGAGAGACTAGGCATGTGCTTTGAGGCTGAGCCCCTGACAACCTGTCAGAAGGGAAAACCTCATGACTAGCAGCAGAACATGGCCAGTGACAGTGCCAAAAAGTGTCTTTGGGTCAGAAGCCACTCAAAATTTGACTGGGGTCTTAAAGGCTCGAAGTAAACAAGCGGCCATCTAGCTCAGAAGCAACAAAGCCCACATGGAAGAAGCACACCAGCCTGTGCGATCACGAGGTGTCGAAGGGATCAGGTATCAGGCATCAAAGAACAAAAAATCATATCATAGTGAATAAGGGGGAGTGCAGAGTGGGGACCCAAAGTCCATCTGTAAGCAACTGGACATCCCCTTACAGAAAGGTCCCAGGGAGGAGATGAGCCAGTCAGTGTGCAGGGTAGCAATGATGAAACAAACAACTATCCTCTAGTTCTTTAATGCTTCCTCCCCCACCCCACCCCCACTATCATGATCCCAATTCTACCTTACAAATCCGACTAGACCAGAGGATGTACACTGGTTCAGAGAGCAACTGGAAACCCAGGGAATCCAGGACCGATAAAAACTCCTTAGGACCAATAATGAGAGTAGTGATACCAGGAGGGGAAGGGGAAGGTGGGGTAGAAAGGGAGAACCGATTACAAGGATCTACACATAATCTCCTCCCTGGGGGATGGACAACAGAAAAGTGGGTGAAGGGAGACGTCAGACAGTGTAAGACATACAAAATAATAATAATTTATAAATTATCAAGGGTTCATGGGGGGGGGAGAGGAAATGAGGAGGTGATACCAAGGGCTCAAGTAGAAAGCAAATGTTTTGAGAATGATGATGGCAACAAATGTGCCTTGACACAATGGATATAATGTATGGATTGTGGTAAGAGTTGTACAAGCCCCCATTAAAATGATTTAAATAAGAAAAAAGAAAAAAGAGAGCTGTCTTCTCAAATAGAGTCGACAGCAGATACAGTAGAGCTTTTAGTGCCTTCATTTGTCAATGGGGCACAACTCAAAATGGGGGTGGGGGCAAGAGTTGTAAACATCTACCAGTTACTGGAAGTTGGAATGTTCAAAGTGTGCCTCTAGGAAAACTCAAAGTCATCAAGAAAGAAGTGGAACACATAGAAGTCGAGGTCCTGGGCATTCGTGAGCTGAAATGGACCGGGACTGGCCATGGTGAATCGGAAAATCACACGATTTACTCTGCCAGCAATGACGCGGGAGGACTGCTATCGCACTCCCCATCAAAAAGGACAGTTCGCGAGCTCTCTGGAGTGCGACGCTGTCTGTGATAGAGTACTATATACTGCATACGACGAAGTCTGGTCAACATAGCAATTATTCAAACTTATGCACCAAAAGCCAGTGAAGAAATTAAAGATTTTTACCAAGTCTGAGATTAATTAAACAAGCAATCAGGATACCTTGATAATTATTGGTGATTAGTTGGCAAAAGGTGGAAACAAGGAAGAAAGAACAGTAGGAACACAACAGTCTTGATGACAGAAACAAAGTAAGAGCACACGGTAGAATTTTGCAAGACCAATCAATTCTTCGCTGCAAAGATCTTTGTCAAAAACAGATGGAGACCACATATGTGGATTCTCCAGATCGAACCCACAGAAATCACACTGGCCGCATCTGAGGGAGAAGAAGCTCAGCAGCTACAGTGAGGCCGAGGGCAACTGTGAAAGTGCTCACCTTTAAGTACAGGCTGAAGCTAAAGAAAATGAAAACAAGTGCACAAGAGCCACAATCCAACCTTGAGTCTATTGCAACCCAATGTTGAGAGCATCTCAAGAAAGGTTTGACACACTGAGCACTGGTGGCAGACGATCTGATGAGCTGTAGGATATGGAGAGCACCATACAGGAGAGCACACATCATTAAAAGGAAAACAGGATCAAAGTGGATGTCATAAGGGACTGCGACTTGCTCTTGATCTCAGAGTGGCTGAGGCCAGCGGAAGAATGATGACGTCAAGGAGGCACACAGCAATGTTCCAAGGGCAACTCGAGAAGCCACAGGATCAGAATGAAATATGCAAAGACCCGGAGTTAGAAAACTAAAACGGAAGGAGAGGCTCACCATAGCTTAAATGGAAAGAACTGAAGAAATAATTCAAGCCTTGAGTTGCAATACTGATGATTCTATGGGGAAAATACTGCCCCGAGCCGGAAGCATCAAGAGCACATGGAAAGAATGTACAGTCACTGTATCCCAAAGAACGAGTCAACATTCAACCATTTCAAGGCTTAACCGGAAAGAAGAAGTCCAATCTGTAATGAGTACGTTAATGAAACACAAGGCTTCAGGAATCGATGGAATACCAATTGAAATGTGTCGAGAAGCCGAGCAAGCACTGGAAACAAGCTTGTCTGTACCAAGATATAGGGAAGCCAGTGACCCAGACAACAGACAGGGTAAGATTTGTATTTGTACCCATTCCAGAGAAAGATGATCCAACAGAATGTGCAAACTATATTAACAATGTACTTACATGTATCACTGAAACGCATAATATACTAAATCACTGATACCACATGCAAGTAAAATTTTGCTGGCTATCATTGTACAACAGATGTAGCAGTTCCTTGACAGGGAGCTGTCAGAAACTAGGGTCTGAATCAATAAAGGACAAGGAGCAAGGGATTATCATTGCTGATGCCAGATGAATCTTGGCTCAAAGCAGAGAATACCAGAATGATCTTCACTTGTGCTTTACTGACTGTGTAAAGGCACCTGATTGTGTGAATACCAAAACTATAGACTGCCTTGAAAAGAATGGGAATTTCAGAACATTTCATTGGACTCATGGGAAACCTGTACGTAGACCACCAAGAGGAAGTTGTGGGAACAGACAAGGAAATATTGCACAGTTCAAAATCAAGAAAGGTATGTGTCAGGGCTGCAACCTTTCATCATACTATTCAATCTGTATGCTGAGAAAATAATCAGAGAAGGCAGATTCCAGATTGGAGGAAGGCTTATCGACAACCTGCAATATCAAATGACATAGCCTTGTGTGCTCAAAGTAAGGCGGTCTTGAAGCACTTGCTAGTGAAGATCAGCGATTGCAGCTTTCAGTATGGATTGCAACTCAATGACCAAAATCCTCACTGCTGAACCAGTAGATAACCTTCTGCTGTGATATCTGGAGAAATGATTGAAGCGGTCAGGGACTTCATCAGGCTTAGATCTTTAAACAATGCACATGGAAACAGCCGTGAAAAGATCAAAAGACACATTATAGTGGGTAAATCTGTGGCACAAGAGCTCTTTAAAGTGCTAAAGCACAGATGTTACTTGGAGGACTAAAGTGCGCCTGAACCAAACCACAGTATTTTGCCTTTATGTACATGAAATGTGCACACATTTGATTTCTGGTGTTGGCAAAGAACAGTGACAATACCGTGAACCGCCAAAAGAACAGGCAAATCTATCTTGGAAGAAGTATAGCTCCTTAGAAGCAAGGATGGAGATTTTTGTCTCGAGTACTTTGGACGTGCGATGAAGAGACTATTCTCTGGGGGGGAAAGACATCATGCTTAGAAAAATAGGCAATGACAAAGACCTGGGCAAGATGGAGAGACCAGTGGCTGCCACGCTGGGCTCAAATATCAAGAGAGCTGTGAGGAGGGGGCAGGACCAGGCAGTGTTTTGCTCTGTTGTACAAAGAGTCAACACTGACATAATGGCACCAAAGAACAACATGGGCTAGATCTCTAGTAAGTGTTGGGATCTAGAAGACTATCAAAACTGATGAACAATTTGCCTATAATTCACAGAGGGAAAAAATTAAAAAACTGTCCCAGCTAGTAAAATAGCCTCCCCATCCTGTGCTGACAACAGGCAGATGGACGTTCAATGGGAGTGTACATAAAACCAGGTGTTGAGCCGTGTTTAGCAACAGCATCTGAAAGCTAAACTTCCTCCTGCCCAGTACTCTGTGCTTTTCCCAGAGAAACACTTCAAATAATACATATGTAGGAATCGATGTTACCACTCTAATTTATTTTCTCCTACAATACTAAATAATTTCACAAAACTACCAATTAAAGGCTATTCAAAATGTTCCTCTAAATTTGTAAATGAAAGGGTTTGTGCTTAATTCAGTGTCGTTTCTTAAATAGGCAACTAAGATCTAAATCAACATGATCTTCCCCACAATTATGAGACAGTGCCTTAAAAAAAACAAAAACAACAACAACCAAAAAACCCAAG